TGTTCGCTGGGTGATGTGGTTCGATGGTTTGGAGGTTACAGTGGCAGTGTGGGGCTGGTGGTTGGACTTGAAGATCTTGAAGGTCTCCTCCAACTTTGACGATTCTGTGATTCCACTGTTCCTTTTCCTTCCTTTCCCCTTTTACCTTCTCCTTCCTTCCCCCTGGACTCCCACGTCCTTTCCAGACCCTGCTGTGACAGTCAGAGGTGGCTCAGTGGCCCTGAGCCCGTGCAGCCCCAGGCTCTGCTCAGCCAGTGTTCCTGAACAGAGCAGTTTGGAGCTTCCAGAGCAGCTTTTTCCTACTCTTTCTGCAGCTGGAACTTGCACATCTCCATGGAGGAGAGGCTGAGCCCAGGCTCCCTCTGTGCCCGTGGGCAGGGGGTGCCCAGCCAGGAATGGGGGCTGGGTGCTCTTGGCTGATCCCCCCCAGACTCCAGAGTCGTGCTGGTGTTGTCCTGGGGCACCAGAGCATTTAGTTTTCCCAGTAAACCTTCAGAATGAAATCCCATCTATTCCCTGAATGGCTGGATAACATGAGATCCGTGTGGGGATGCAGAGTTAAAGCACCAAGGGGGACACAGGGAGGACCAGGTGGTGCTGTCAGGCGGGTACAAGCACAGGAGTGCTGGTTTCCCAGCCCGGATCCCCTGGCTGTCGTTCCAGGGCAGACAGGGAAGCTGATGTACGTGATGCACAACTCCGAGTACCCCCTGAGCTGCTTCGCCCTCTTCGAGAACGGGCCCTGCCTCGTGGCCGACGCCAACTTCGACACCCTCATGGTGAAGCTCAAGGGCTTCTTCCAGAACGCCAAGGCCAACAAGATCGAGAGCCGCGGCACCCGCTACCAGTACTGCGACTTCCTGGTGAAACTGGGCACCGTCACCATGGGGCCCAGCGCCAGGGGCATATCCGTGGAGGTGAGGGGCCTCTGGGAAGGATGGGGAATACAAGGACACACAGGGAAATTCCATGAGGGAGGACGGAGGAGGAGGGTTTAGGGGTGACCGAATTGTGGCCGTCCAGTGAGCTGAAAAGGAAGATGGAGAGACTATTTTACAAGGTCCTGGAGGGGCAGGACAAGGGGGAATGGCTTCACACTGACAGAGGGCAGGCTTAGATGGGATATTGGGAAGGAATTCTTGGCTGGGAGGGTGGGGAGGCCCTGGCACGGGTTGCCCAGAGAAGCTGTGGCTGCCGCACCCCTGGGGCGAGGCCAGGTTGGATGGGGTTACCCCTCCGTGTTACATGCTAAACATTCTGGGATGTTTTCATGGAAAGCACACCCTGCAGCGAGGCAGGGAGCAGGGCACTGCCCCTCCTGCCAGCTCCAGGGCTGTGGGCCGTGTTCCCAGGTGGAATACTGCCCCTGTGTGATCGCCAACGACTGCTGGAACCTGCTCATGGAGTTCATGCAGAGCTTCATGGGCAGCCACACGCCCGGGATCCCGTCGGTGTTCGGGGCCAAGCACGACAGCGTGTACAGCCCCGGGGACACCATGGTGCAGTACATGGAGCTCTTCAACAAGATCCGCAAGCAGCAGCAGGTGCCCGTGGCTGGGATCAGGTGATCATTCCCTGGAGCTCCTCCTGGGAGTACATCCTCCTTGCTGCCTGCCCAGCAGGATCGGGAGTCCCTCTGAAATGCAGCATGGGACGGTTTTTTTCCTTCTGCATCTCCTTCCCCTGGTTCAAAGCAGAGTTTTCCAGTGCTGTGTGTGTTTCTGTTTGTTCTCTGTGGTTTGGAGTGTGTCTGGGATTGGATCCATGGTTCTGCGGATTGGATCCGTGGTTCTGTGGTTCTTTGGGCAGTGCTTCGTGCAGGGAATCAGTGTCCATCAGCAGGAAACTGCAGGAAAAGGAGAAATTCCAGCCAAACACAAGGGCAGAGTTTCTGTGACTGCAAACAGAGCTTTTAATTTTTTACTTTTTTTTTAAATATCCACATAAAGGTGTCTTCTTGTATTTCACCCCAATAAACCTGTATTTTTGGAGGAGTCTCTGCCACGTTCTGCTTCCAATTACCCCCTTGACGTCAGTGGGTTTCCACGGGGGAGAGGGTGAGGAGGACTTAGTCATTCATGTCTCAGCAAAGCCTATTGGTCTCCATTCTGGGATCGGCTGCCTCATGTTACTCTCGGGCTTTTTTACTTTACTGATGGACAAAATTACTCTTTTGAGGTCCCCATCACCTGAGAGACCCTGTGGGGTTCCCCCCCATCACCTCAGAGCCCCCACGGCCCCCCATCACTTCAGGGTCCCCCATCACCTCAAGCCCACCCCGTCACCTCAGGGACCCTGCGAGGTGCCTCCCACCACCACGCAACCCCCCGAGGAGCCCCCGCGCTGCCCCTTTAAGAGCCTCTTTGTCTCCGAGACACCTTTATTTACCCTCCCGCGACTCGCCCGAAGTTCGGCCCCGCGGTTCACAAAGCGCGGCGCGTCACGGGCGGGGGGCGGGACTCGAACCCGCGCCGGCCCCCCCGGCGCCCATTGAGCAGCGCCCCCTGGCGGCCGCGCAGACTGCGTACGGCCCGCCGGCGGCGAGCCCGCTACGCAAAGGGCGCGCGTGCCCTACGCAAACGGCGCGCGGGGCCCCGTAGGGAGCAGCGGGCGCTGCGCTGCGCAATTGGCGTAAGCGGCGGGCAGCGGGGGGCGGGAGCCGGCGCTGAGTGACGCGCGCCCCGGCCAATGGCGGAGCGGGGCGGGGCGCGGCGGCCAATGGGCGGGGAGGGGGCGTGGCCGGCGCGGGCGTCTCGCGCTGGGTGACAGCTCGCGCGTGCTGGTGATGGCGGTAAATAAAGGGGACGGGGGGGGGGACACACGGGACGCGACCCCCCCGAGGGCACGGAGGGGGGAGAGCGGTGAGGGGCTGCGGGAGGTGAGGGGGGTGAGGAGGGTGCTGAGGGGTCCCTGCTGCCCCCCTGCTCCTCAAAGCGACGCCCCCCCCCTCTGCCCCCCCGCGCGGTGCGGTTGGGGGGGGGTTGGAGGCGGACCCCTTTATTACCCCTTCTCTCCCCATCACGGGGGTCGCCGCCTTTGTGTGCGGGCGGGACCCCCTCGCCGGGCTCGGCGGCTCCGCAACTTTCCCTTTGTTGAGGGACACCCCCCCCCCCGCCATCCCCGGGACCCCCCGTCTCCAAACCCCCCATCCTGCCCTGGAATGTCGTCGGGACCCCCCCCGCCTTCCTCGGGACCCCCCTCCTGACCCCCTTCCACCCCCAGGGCCCCCCTCTCCACAATTCCTCCCTCTGGCACCGACCCCTTGCTCCATCCCCCCCCCCGTCTTCCCCAGGACCCCCCCATCCCAAGGACTGACTCCCCCCGCTCCAAACCCCTTCCCCTCCCCGGGACCCTGGGGGGGTGCTGGGGGTCGTGGCTTTGCTGGGAGGGGGGAGAAACGCGCCTTAAAAATATCTCCCTTAAAGCCCCGTGCTGTGCTTGGAGGGGGGGGAGGGAGGGCACCAGAATGAGGAAAATCTGTGCGGGTTTGTATTTACTTAAGAGAAAAAAACACATACAAAAAAAAAACCCAAAAAAACCAAAAAAGCCGCGGGTTTGTGTCTCGCACGGAGGGAAGGAGCAGAAGTTAATCCGGGGGGGCCCTGGGTGCACCTCGGGGTTGGGTTTGTTGGTGGGAAATGTCCACCCCGGGAGAGAAACTGCTTCAAAATCCCCTTTTAAACCTCAAAAAGGGGTCGCAGCAGTGACAACCCCCCCCGCCCGCCACGAGGGCTCCCAGAGCCAAGGGAATAGCGGATAAGGGATAACTGAGCCCCTAAAACGGGAGTCGGTGCTGGGAAAGGCGCTAATTTTAGGAAAGGCGCCCGTTAATCGCGTTACCGGCGGTCGGACGGAGGCAACGAGCCTGATCCGAGCGTCAGGACAGCTCCGGGTCTCCAGCAGGAGAACACTGAGTGGGGAGAGCATCCCGTTATCCCGAAACATTGGAGCGGGAGGCTGGGAAGCGCCTTTACTTTGCGGAGTTACTCCTGTACTCTTAGTCACGGAGAGATGCTTGCGGACTCCTGGAGTCGCTGAGCTCGTCTGGTGGGAAATGATGCAAAATTCGGTCCTTTCACACGCTGCCGCCTCGGGGAAGATGCTCGTGGAGACCCGGGAAAGAGCTGCTGATTCCTCATTCCAGGGAAAACTCTGACTTCGGCAGGAGCTTCTCCTGGAGGAGAATCGATTGGCAAGGCAGGAAATAGGGAGCAGATTAAATGGGATGACAAGGAGAGTGAAAATAAGGTTTTAGGGAGGGGGCTGAGAGCTGAGCTGCTGCTGGAGCTGAGGAATGAAGGGGCACGGGAATGAGGAGCAGGTAAATCAGTGGAATGGTGAATTAAAAGCTCCGTGTGGGTGTGAACAGTGTGGATTAGGCTTGGATTAAACAAGTGTCCCTGTGAACTGGCTGGAGCTGCACCGTATCGAATTTTCCCTGGATTTCTGCCGCTCTGCCTTGGGCAGCTGCACCCGGGGGTTGCTGCAGTTTATCCAGTGTCAGAGGGGTTGGACGATGTTTTAAAAGGAACGGGCAACAAAAGCGTTTGGCGTTTTATTTGGTTTCAAAACAGGCTGGGTGCAAATATTTGGAAACGATGTGCCAAGCGTGAGCAGCATTTGATGTCTCCGGGCTTTCAGCACGAGGCTGCAAACCATAAATGTGTGTTTATTCCTCCCCTGATCATTCTCCCTACGAATATGAGCTGGCTCCAAGTGGAAGGGGTGTTTTGAAGTTGGCAGATTTTCCGCTCTGGAATAATTCTCGGTCTTGTGCAAGTTGGGTTTGTTACAGAGAATTCTGCTTGTTCAGGAGCGGGGCCGGACAATAGTCACATATGCAACAGTTTAGGGGCTGTTAGAGCCGGGAAGCCAAAACTGGGGATTTATTTGGCTGTTGTGTGTCCAAGGATTGTTAGTGAGGAATCTCCTGCTGCAATTCCTGCGGAGATTCCAGCTGCATGTGGTACAAAGCCCTGGGCTCCACAAGAGGCCTGTGAGGATGAGGAATTGGGGATCAGCCTGCGGAATGAACCGGGGCTGGGGATCGTCTGGATTGGGATGTACCCATGGGGTGTTGTGCTGCTGGTCCCTGGGACAGAAAAAGGCACCTTTAGGTTCTGTGTCTCCCCTCTGCTCTGGGTTTTTTTGCTGCAGTGGATTTGTTGCTGGTCCTTGCTGCCTTAAACCCAGCTCTGTCCACATCACACCCTGCAGGTTGTTTTCTGCAGTGCTAAAACACTCACTTGTTAATTATTATTTTTAAGTAGTTCTGTTTTGTCTCAGAACAAGTGACAAGAAGCACTTTCTCAGCAGCAAAGACGGTTTTTTCAGCATAAATTACTGAAAATGCATTTTAAGATCCTGGGTTTTTTTGGCCTTTTCCCCTTTTGTTACCTGGTTTTATACTGAAATGTCTTAGGCCTTTTGCTGAGACTCCTAAATTGAAATTTAGTGTTTTCTCAGCCCTTAGAAGATGTTACTGGATTGATTTAGAACAGTTAATAAGTGGAAATACTACAAAATTTAGCTTCTGTCCCATGAGGTCCTCGTGGATTCTTTCACACGAGTTTTTTTGCGTTGGGGAAGTGTAAGAGGGTTTCTGAAGTTGTTGCCAGCTCTGAGGCAAAACAAAACTGAGAGTTTTGGTTTCAAATCGTTGTAAATGAACAGAGAGATGCTCAGTGAGCTGCTTGAAATCTTTGTGGATTAACTGGGAGCAGCAGGTGAGGTGGAAGGGGGGAACAGGGAGCTGGGGTCACCCTGAGCTGCCTGGTGGGACAAAAGACCCCAAAGATCCCCCCAATCCTTTATTTTCTGCAGGAATCCTCTCCGGTGAATGAGAAGTTTCTCTCACTTCGTTTAACAACCTTTGTGGTTTTCGTGTTGAATATTTCATCGAGGGTGGGTTTTGGTGTTGGGTTTTTCCCCTTTGGGGAGATGTTCTGTCTCAGCAGCCTGTTGTTAATGGCTCGGTGGGTAAACACTTCACCTTTCCCAAACACTTCACCGCGGGCTGTCGGATAGAAAAAAAGCCCCCCTTCAATGCCAGTGAAAGGAAGACCATCCTCGTTAGTGTGAAACCCTTAACGAGTCACTGCTCTGGAGGGAGCAAATCCAAATTGTTTAACAGAAACCATTTAAAAATCTGATTTACAGGTGAGAATATCCCAGGTTTTTTGTTGATACCTCTGTGTGTACCAGCCCTAACGCTCTTCACCTTGGTTTTACGAGACTTTAGCTGAAAGATGGCTCATGTGAGGCTGCAGAGTCGTTTGTGGCTCAGGAGCCAGGGAATTACAGCTCTGGCACCCAGGGAAACAAAACAGATTAAAGGGGGAGCGAGGGGACAGGAGGTAAAAACAGGGGTGAGGTTCTGCCCTTTGCCAGTGTCACAGGGAAATAATTTCTGAGTGAACTAAAGCTGATTATTTGTGTGTTTGCAGTAATTTATATCCTGGTGTGCTGAGGAAAATGCAGATTAAAAGGCACTGCTAAAATACACTGTTCTGCTGGGTTTGAAAGGAAAAAAACCTCTTTTTTAGCAACAGTGTTGAGAAGTGTCTGTAGCAGACAGGAGACAGGCAAAAAAAATGAAGCTGGCTGCGTTGTGCTAAGTGTTGTTAATGAGCTTTTTGCTTACAATGTGGCAGTGAGTGCATATGAACTATTACACCTTCAGTACATGACAAAAATCGGTTGAAATGCCTCAGAAAGTGGCAAATTGTTGGGACAAACCCTGAGATTTTTGAAAGCACGCTCACTAGGTAGGTTCCTTTAATTAGGTAATTATAAAGTAATTCACTGAGAAGTCTGGCTTTTTAAGAGCTTTGCTGAGAGAGTAGAAAATACCTGAAAACCAGGAGCTTTTCTTGTTCCTCCCCACGGTGCTCACACTTGCTTTCTTGTCTCACTGCTTGGCTCTGTAATTCAGCTGCGTTTTCAAATGGAGACAGAGAACTGAAATCCTGGGATCTGACAGCTCCCAGTTA